GAACACTCCGGAACCATTCAGGACTTCTGGCAGACATAGGGCGCACTTACGCTTTTCCGAAGAGCACTTCGGAATCGTACAGGCCATCAACAGCTGACGCAAGAGTCACCATGCTTTAAGCACATTGTCACAAAGAACAACAATAGATCGAGTAATAGACTATAAATACAGATTATTACATCCTTCAAGAGTTAGACATCTTACCATTAATCACTCTTACGTGTGACTAGCTCTTCTACAGCTCCCCTTAAATAATTAAAGACACAATTGATTACGTAATATATTCCATCAAACATCTTACACCATATCAAGTATAGTTATTCATACTTCAAACATACTTGGTTCAACTACCACCTTCTCATGCTACCTCACAAGCATGATTGATTGACTATACCAGCTGACATTTGCAGCATCAGCATTACCTCAACTTCAAGACAGTAATATCCATAGAATCTACAATTATTCAAGAATACAAGAATACACCCTCACTACTTAAATAGAATTATTTCTCTCTACATCAAAGTGCAATATTATTATAATCATTTACAAATAATAAACATTGTTTTTACTAAATACATAATATTTTTCAGCCTTATCACTTATTATTTCGTTTGAAGTTATCCTGCCGAGAGACTAATCCACTGAACTATTGAATTGGTAGTTCGAGCCATAAACTAAACCCTTAAAATCGAACAAAGGTAAAAGGATTGTAATTGATGCTTTAATATACATGCAAAATAAATGGCGCTATAAAGCACATTTTAAGCTGATTTTTCAGAAATTTTTCAATTGCTTCTATTTTAAAAATAAAAATTGATTTTATACCTCTGTATATTTGAATATACTGATCTTATTTAGTAAAGATTATAATGTCGAATTTGATCTGATTCTTATTGTATACATTACTTTAATAAATAAATTTATATATTAAAATTTAAATTAATATAAAAAAAATAAAAATATAAAATAATATAAAAAAATTTACATATATATATATATATATATAACTTTTATTTTGGTCTGGATAGACTGCAATTGATTTGGCTAATCTTCAACGGAAGGCTTTTGGAAATTAAAGTTTGCCTTTGGCTTATATGTGAGTCGTGATTTATATAGACGCTGGATGTAGATAGCGAATGTCGGAAAGGAAAAACTGTCGAAGTTTCGAGCACCCGTATCCACGTAATAATGATACGGGATAAAAAAAATCCTCGGCGTCTTTCTGTATTTCAGGTGGTTGATTTGTTTCTTTATTCTTTACTATGATTTTAGATGCAAAATTAATTCATTAAATGTATATTTCGTATATCGGACTATTTTTAGATTTAATATACAGATGTTATTATTGTTTAAAACTGTAATTGTTATTATGTTAGTATTGCTTAAAACTTAAGAAGATTATATTAAACTTTATAATATTAGTGTAATTGGCGATCCAGAAATTTGATAAATTATAAGTTTTATATTTTTTCCGTACTGTATTAAAAAAGATTAATTCTTATTTTAGATGTTTGACGATGATCTTCATAATATAAGCGAAGATAGGAATTTTATATCTTTGAAAGCTAATGGCCAATTTAAATGAATAATTCTGATAAATTTTCAAAATTTGTTTAAATAAAATATATTTTACATATTATAAAATATGTAGTTTTATAGCTATAGTAGATATAAATGATCAGTAAATTAAAAAATAATATTTAAAGGACAGTTACATTTTAGTATTTCTTTGCTCCTTCATCACAAAATAATGGATTAAAAAACTTTATTTATCTTATAAATAAAAAGGATTTAACTATTATTTTAGCTATGTTATCAACGAATAAGAAATTAAGACAAATTATTCTTTTAGATACTGTTTGAATAATTTGACCAACTTTCGAACACGAATTTACTAGATATGTGGAATTCTATAAATTACCGTGTGAACGAAGATATTTATCTTGATCCACTCGTGACAAGAAGCTGTACAACCTCATCCCCTTTATCAACTCATAATCATGCATGTCACCCATTACAAAAATGTGATCAAATTCATATTTGTGAAATAGTTCGTGAATAATACAATTAGCATGATTTATATTGTTTTAATAGTCTAGATTCCCTTAAGTCTCTTTTACCTCTGTGAATTCCAATATGCCAATGGTTTTGTTTATCTTATTTTTCCGCATTTAGTATTTTCACTTTGCTTTCCCACCTAAATTTATTCATTTTAATTATAATATCTAGCCGTTTCTGAAATATAAATGTCCGCCTTCAATTGACCAGTCATTTGTGCTTGCAATAATCACAAATGCAATTACCGTGCGTATTCAAAGTTAAAGCTCCATTAAGCATTTTTATCCATTGATTTCTACAATAAATGATGTAAATTTACATTATTTTATTCAAAAATTTATAATATAATACTTTTATAATACTATAAAAAGTATTTTGTGCTTAAACGTTTCAAGAAAATGCGCCCTATAAATAAGTTTATAATATCGAATAAAAATGTTTAGAAAAAAGAAATTATCGAACAAATATTGATTCCATATTAATATAGATAACCCACTCATTAGCATAATAATATCCGTAATCATTGTGTATAATACATTTACAAGATATTTAAAATTGGTGCATCATAAATTGCATTAAAAAAATTAATTCATTATTTAAGAAAAATGTATTAACTGATTTTTGTATTAGAAAATTAACAATGAAATATAAATTGTTAGGAGAATTTTGCGATAAAACATAAACTTGCCAACTGTCCGAAAGTGTAACTTCCCTGGCACGAGCTGAAAGAAATATGAAACAACAGAGGTCATTAACGAAACAGAATAACAATTTATTTTATAATGTACTGAAAATCAAAATTAATGATAGGAAACATTTTCACTCTAATCAGTTGATCCTTATGACGTTTATCGAGTTTATTGACTTATTCACTTTACAAATAACTGTTGTTTTATGCATGTATTTATTCACATTATTAACATAGATATTCATTGTAAATGAAACGTTTTCTGGCAAAGATTATTACCGAAATTCAAAATTGTTGTAATCTTATCAAGTAGAATAAATATGAAATTAATTATATTGAATAATAATCTGGATAATCACACTATTTTAATTTATGTTGATGATAAGTATATTTTGTTATTTATTAATGTAAAAAGAGTATCATTAATTATTATATCATTTATTCAATTTTGTCTTATTTATTAAAATAAATTTTAATAAAATAAAAATTTTATAATAAAAATTTTTAATTAGATTTTACATTAGAATAATAATGAATAAAAAACTATTTTATAAATTATTTTTTGATTAGATGAAATTATTTAACAATTTTAATAATGCGAACATTCCATGGTCAACTATCATGAGATTGTATAGAATCACGCAAAGTATATAGTTAAAGTACTTTCTATGTATTGCGAAATAGAAAATATAATATCTAGTAATTATAAACGTAATATAATAATAAATAAAATAAAATAATAAATAAAACAATATTTTGAATGAAATCGAGGAATTTTTTTTAAATATGAAGTATCATTTTAAGTATTCATTAAGTGAATATTATAGTTATTTTAAAAACAATTAGAATGTAGAACAATTAGAAATTTATTACGAGTTTTATTATTAGCAATTCGAATATATATTAATATTGTTACTGGTAATATTTTAATAAGATTTTTATTTTTAAGTTTTACGTATTGAAAGTCTTTATTTAATATATTTTTTTGCCTTTAATAATATTTTTTAATTATTAAACTTTATTGATTATCTCTTTTTAACTAAAAAATATTTTATTAAATTATTAAAAAAAATTCATCAAAATGTATAATATCTACCAATTTTTTAATTAAATTAATATAAAGAAATTATAATTTGATTCATTAACAATATATGATTTTTAATATTATACTTTTAATAGCATTTGACGTACGAGTCGTAACAATTTATATATTATATATAGGAAACATTATTCAGGTATATTAAATTATTTTAAAACAATAACATAACAGGTTGGATCAAGTATCCTGCGAATTAATAATGAACTTAATTTACACCAGAAGGACTAATAACATAATAGTCATAAATTGTATACGCATTGAATGAATAACGCGAAGCTTTGATATTGTATGTCACTTAATTCTGTCGAAATTCTGGTAATTTAGACACCATCGCTAACTGCATAAATCGTGGAAGTAGTTGTCAAGATAATACGCTTATATTCGTAGTAAATGTAATCAATATAATTTGGCCTCGAAAAAATTTGACCTCAACTGAAAATTGTTTTTGTTTTTATTTTATTCGTTTCTTTTGTAAAAAAAAGGCATCCTTAAAAAATGGCTTTCATAAAAAGAACAGCGGAAGCGGCAAGCCATACGAACTGAAATTTGCTCTTGTGGTATATCAATGTTGAGTCACATAACAAATCTTGAGCAAAAAGCGGAAGATGAATAATAATATGCACAATGTCAATGAAGGGTAAATTCACAAGAACTATTGAACTCAGATATATAATTAGTGATTTTATAATTATAAAACAAAAACTACAGATGAGACATTCAGATCGGTAGTTTCTTGTGTGATATATGTACAGATATATGAATGAAAATATTTACTTAAGACTAAATATTAATAATTAATACACATCTATTATTTATATATATCTGGACGATTTCGTTTGCAATTTGATTTAATTTTGTAGTTTAAATCTGCAGTTTAAATTGATCAAACAGCAGTTATTTTATATTTCCTCTATTTCCTCTATTCTTCTTCTCTGGGACTTAGGATTCGCTAGCGCGATCAACAAGATTCGGCGTAGTTGAGAACAATGTAAGCATTGTCTTAAGATGCCGAGTGCGCACGTACGTCTATTGCTTGTAGTCGCACGTGCAGGGTTTTGGATTGCAGTGAAATTTAGGAAATGTTTGTACTTGATAGTTTACGATACTCTTTCAGAATCTACGTCTTCTTGGAGAATATATAATAGAGCGAGAATAAATAAGCTAACTTTTCACGGGTGTTTTCCAGATGTATAGACCTTCTCGAGTGTCCAATGACCGTGGGAAATTGTGGCAATAAAACTGTTCTCGCAATCTCGAACAAAAACAAAAATGTAAAAATATAGCCTTTAAATAAAAGATGTATGAAAAGTTTTCTATTTAGATTTATGTAAGTTTTACATCTATATAAAATTTAATTTTTTATTCAATTAATTTACATTTAATTCGAAAGAATTTATGCAAATTATAAATATTATAAATTCATTTTCTTATAAATTTTTTAATCATATCGACTCCTAAGTAATAAATGTCTTATGAGAAATTATATCAAATAAACTTTCAAGTAACATTTCTAATAATCTAATGTGATCGGAAATTAATGATGAAAATAAACTTCAATATTTCAGTTATAATACCTCTCAAAAAATATAAAATATTTTAAGTAATTCGTTCATTTTTCATTCAATTCATGTTCATTTCTATTCATATTTTTACTGTATTTTAATTATTAAATATAAACTTCGCTTCTAATGATATTTTGTACTGTAATATTATAAATCAGATATTTTAATGATTATACCAAAACCTTTTTAATAATGATATAATGAGTTCAAAATAAATAATTCATTATCAAATATTTTAAATTAACATTCTAAGAAGAAGAATAAAAAACATGTATACAAATTGTTGTCATGTCAACTAAACATTTTATATTATTGTAATAATAACATAATGATTAATTTGAAGGTAGAGGTATAATTTTATAGCATGCGCAGCTGTTACATAATTAATATTCTTTGCCGTTTCATCGAAAATACTAGAAAATGCTTTTTCCATATATTAAAAATTTAAAGCTACATTAGTCCGATGATATTCCTATTATAAATATAAACATTTACTATTTAAAAAGTGTTAATACCACATGTTATACTGACTGCAAATTTACTTCTTTGATGCGCAATCGCGGTTTCCACGAGAAGATCAAAGTCGGACGAACGATACAACATTTTAAATAATAAGGAATCGGGCTCGCGTGGATCATTGCTGGCATATATACCATAGTACAGTATATAAATAGAAAGCAATAATGATGAATAAAACCGAATTTTCATACCATACTAAATGACAAGTATTATCATTTTTATAGTGTTATGAATATTTTTTTGATTTATCTATTTTTTAGAATATACTCTTGGATTTCTTTGACATATAAGAAGTCTAAATTAGAGTAATTTAAGCAGTTCTATAGGAATTTAAATAAATAGAAATTTAAGCAGTTTTGCTAAATCGTTTAACATTGTTATTCATTTTGATTTCTAATCTATTGATATTTTTTGATTTATTAAATTATAAAAATTTTAATTAACACATTAAATTGTATAAAACGCATTTTATATATAACGCAATTTACATTTCTATATGAATTATTGAATATTATTACAATCGTTAAGTATTATTATATTAATTTACAATTAAAGCTTAGTTAAGATTTTAATTATAATATGTTCATTTTAATTTTTCATTATCTTTAAGTTAACATCTTTTAATTTGATTAATATAGATACTGATAAATTATACATTCGAATGTGCATACAATATTTTCCTGCATATAGAATGTTCTTACATATTTATATTCCACATTTGCATACGTTGTTTTTGACTAATAGTTAGTGCAGGCAAGTTAATTGATAGAATATTCTAATGGTACTTTGGCGAATTATAGTGGCATTTAAATAAACATTATCAAAAATTTAAAATCTATTATTTTGATGTATTGCTATATAACATTATAATAATTGTATATTTATATAAAAAAATTTTATGTGATATTGATTTATGTAAAGTTTCCGTAAGATTTTTGAATGTTTAAATAAAAGAAAAACAAAATTGTTAATATATATAATTTGATAAAATATTTCTATATAGAATTTATCAAATAATACTGATGTAATGCTATATATCTAAAATAAAAATAAAAAATATAATAAAAATATGCCCTCGATTTGAGATAGAATAAAAAATACTCTAAAAAATACGATTCTTTGATGTATGTATATTAATGTTTCTCTTATAAATAAGTGAATTAAATTACATAATAATTTTACTTCAAGGTGACATAAGAGTGAACGTAAAAATACCAAAAGAAGCTGAGCTTGGGAAATCTACAAGCTTAGAATGCACTTGGAAACTTTTAAGCAATAATTCCCTTTACTCTGTGAAATGGTACAAAGACGAGTACGAGTTCTTCAGCTACAATCCTGAAAATGAGCCCAATGATCGAATCAAGATTCACCCACAGAATGGAGTGACTATCGATGTAAGTGAAAATACTTAAAAATTATTATGGTATTTTATTTATGATTGTTATTCCATATTCTATTAAAATGTCTATAGAATATCTAAAAGTTATTGGAATCAATCACGTGTCATATAAAACTAATAACATAAAAATTTGACCAATAATCATTTCAATTTTTATATTTCAGAATTTCATTCAAAAGCATGCTTTTATGTGTTATTATTTAATAACTTTCTACAAATGAACAAAAGCTACTCTATAGTAGTGTTTTTAAAAATAAATTATACATTTTAACAAAAGTAATTTTTCTATAGTCTCAATATTGCATAATGAAAGTGGAAACAACACTATTCATATAGGTTGTACCATCGATTTTTTTTACAAAGATATTTATATGGGTTCTATAAAATAAAATAACCTTCTTTTTAGTTCATGCCAAAACTTTTTTCGACAATTATAGTCTGCTCAAAGACTTCAATCAAGATGTCAAAACGTTACAACATAAATCTGTTGGCAAATTGTAATTAATGAAATTGTTATACATAAAAGTTTTTTTTAAGTTTTTCAAGTTTCTCCTTATAAATGCGAGGATAATCGTTACTGTTCAAGATTGAAGCCAGTTTTCAATACCGCCGATTATCGGTATCGCCGGCCTTTTAGATCTCAGATTACTGTAAACACTTGGACGAGAATTTTTCGTCTATTTGTTATGTTTTGGTTTCAAGTGGCCCATAATGTTTATATGGTCTTCGGGTAATAACATCGTCCGGAAGTTTTCTATCGGTATTACGCCCTAATTTTTCTTTCGTCGAATTCTCGAACATTCTAGATTTTTCTTTCTACGCCTCGTGTACAACTCATACATTCAGTGCAACAACGAGGATGCTTTGTTGCCAGCTAAGTGAGCCGCCGCGTGGATATATAAGGCAAGCACGCGACGCGTCTCCCTCACTTGCTAATCATCTCTTGCCGAACCACCCTCGCTCAACTGCGCTTGCGGCTAACATCTTGCCGTGACCCGACCGCAGTGACCGACCATAGTGAACTATGTTTAACTATTTAACATCGTTACCAATTGTGGATCGGCTCAATTCAGCTGCAATTGAATAGATGTTTTCTAAAATATATACAAACAACTTCTTACCTAACAAATATTGTAGCTCTTATAATTTCAGTAGAGTAGAATATAAATTGTATGCAACCTCTTTATCTCACCATTCTAAAAGTAATGCGTTTTGAAAAATATAAATTTCAATAATTCTCTCAACTGTATAGGTAACCAAGTAAGATGCAGAAACAAATTTCTAGTACTAATGTCGATAAATAAGATTCGATTTTCTAAACTCTTGAAGACTTAAGAAACATTCATTTATGATCGAATAAGAGAGAGCATAACGTTTATTGTGTATTTTTGGTTTATCATATTCCTGAAAAAATTAAGATAATTTAATTTTAATGTACCTGGATATGCAAAAATATTTATATAAAATCATAAAAACAAATTTTAGTTTTTAGATACAAGTTCTTGTTTATGAATATATAGGATATAAAATTTCGTAACAATGTTTTTTTTCGCAATTTAATTGCAATTTATTGATACTTAATCGTGAAATCTCTTATAATATTCATATCAACTATTTATGCATAATACATTATTTATGTAAGATAAATGTAATTTATAAATTATCACTATTATTGTTATACATATAATAATAATAGTATTTAATAATCTAGTAGTACCTGCAATATCAAAAATATTAATTACAAGAAAATTCGCCTACATGTAAAAAATGTTAATTACGTTAAGTTTTTTTGTAAGTAAAGCTTCTCGAGATATGATAAATACAATTAAAACTATTGTTTATAATATTAATTATAAATAAATATTTTATAATAATATGAATATTAGTAATTTTTGAAGATTTTCGTAACAATTTATATAAAAAATCGTTTCTATTGAAAGGATATTATACAAATAAGACGTAGAAATGCATAGATCTATTGGTATCCAAAAAGATCCAAAATAATGTATAACGAAAAAAATTCATCGAGTTTAAAAATGTATATAACACAAAAGACTAAACGTCGCAATAAAAAATACCCAGGAAAATATATTCCTTCCCAATGTAATCATAGACTTAAGATTTTCCAGGAAAGCAAAGCTTACCGATATCGGTCATCGGTATTCGAACGTCTGTTTAAAGGAATTATCGACCCTCTTTTTAATCTTTATAACTTTTGGTTAATCTACTTTCTGCATACCTTATCTGCATTTATAATTCCGAATAAAGATGTATGTACGAAAACCATACTGAACTTGAATTTATTAAAGGCTTTATCTTGGATTTTTATTTATTTTTAATGAATTATTCATAATTGTATACGTCTATCATTAAGAATACAGTATATACAATCATTAATTTTTCATTTTTTAGGTTTTTGTTTCAAAATTTTATAAATTAATTCTAAGTCGTTTAAATATTTGTGGTTCTACCGGGAGGGATATCGCTCGGACTCCTCTGAATCGTCTCGATAACACTCTCAACATTATTGATCACTGCTTACAGAGCCTACTAAGAAAATTCTCGAGGGATAATGAATATCAACGATAATATCAGCACTTCATGATGGAATATGAAGATCTCAATCACATGGCCAAAGCTTTTCCCGTGTCTACTCATAAAATTTAATACTATCTGCCACACCATGGTGTGCTCAAACCTGATCACTACAACCAATCTAAGAGTGGTTTTTAATGACTCTAGCACATCAACATCAGTTCTGTCAATAACATATACACACTCGACCCAATTTGAATCAGAAGACAACACATCTGTTCACCACCGATATCACAAAAACGTAAGGTAGATAAGAATCCACAAAGATGGTTGGGATCTTCAAAGAATCCTGTGGAAAGACGATCAACAGGCAGAAATACCTTATCAATTAACAACAGTCACTGACGGAACAAAGACTGCCCCATTTCTAGCAGTGAAAACAATGCTCCAATTAATAATGGGCGGGAGAAGCAGGTTCCCTCGTGAGACCACTCATAGAAGATGTGCCGGCGACAGTTTCGGAAGTGCAGACACTCCACAGAAACTAATAAAAATCGTACTCCAATTACGGAATCTCTACATGGCAGGCGGCTTTCTATTGGTAAAATGGTATGCAACTCATCAATATGTTATCACCGCAATCAATGCGAATCATAATCTGACCACCTCGATTACGTTCGATGATTGTTCTACGAAAATTCTTGGATTACGGTGGTCTACTCGACAAGACACGTTTAGGTTCACGACATGAAAGACGTCGGTTCAAGATGAAACTTTACGAAATACCTTGTCTTATCTGAAGTGGCTCAGATATTTGGCCCATTAAGTTTTATGTCACTTGTCGTGATCAAGAAAAATATTCATGCAGGAGCTATGGCTGCACAAGATCCAATGGGACAAGACACTGTAATTGCAGCTTTCTGCACGATGGCTGATGATAGAAGAGATCTCACCAACTTGACCAACATTTCAATACCACGTTGGCTAAACTTAAAGGGCACCTCACACCTAAAGCTACATGGGTTTTCTGATGACTTCCAATTAGCAATATTCATTGTAAGGATTAGCAGTGAATTTTGTACACTCCTTGAAAGGACGTGTGCCGAGTGAAACGCTATTGTCACTCACAGCGAACAGTTGCTTTTACCTGATCGTGTGATATCGTTACTTGAGACATTCCTTCATGATGAGGAATACTTCGGTGCCATGCTTCTTGTAGTCGATTATTTTATTGTATAAGTAAGCAGTCAGCATCCTCGACTGCTTGTTAACTGATGTGTACTCGAAAATTGAACGTGTGTTCCTTGTGTAATGGCTTCACTGAGGCAGCGTAACCGAGTGGAGTAGTTATGGCTATAGACTCTGGTTAAACAACGTGACTGACTAGCGTGGATGATTAATAAACTCCTGACTAGCTGAATAACTATGAGCTACGTCTCGTGGTGTGCTTCCTTTAAATAACCACGGGGCAGCCTACTTTGCTGGCTACAATGCAAGGTGTTGATATGCGGAGGCCAGATAAACATTGCAGGATATTCGAGAGTAATGCTTTAGAATATTCCAGAATTCTTTGAATCACTTGTTTACAAAATTCAAGTGCTATGACTTATGAAAAGACCTTTCCAAGAGCGAAAGGTCTTGGAAAATGCTCCAATTCCAAACACAGGCCAAATACTATTCGTGAAATATGTGTTTTAATATATTTGATAAGTGATCATATATTTTTCAACTTAGAAAATAAAAAATTATACAAGAGAAAGCCAATTTAACAATCCATGAACAACAAGTTGTCCACAATTGATTAGCAAACCGAACAAAGCCTCTGCCGAATTCAAAAGTAATCAAACTCTCAAAAATATATTCCCGTCGAAAAAGGAAAGAACGATACAATTCTCATCTATTTCTACTTTTATATTTCCTTGTTTACATTATTGCATGAATGTAATTAGCTATCCGACAGCAACTTGCAGAGCAAAGATAATAACAGTAGTTAATTTTTACTAAACGAATTTCTTTTCTAGTGAAACAATTACAGATCCAGGACGTACCAAGATTACCACGTTTGTGTTTACCAATATATGCTCTGTAATTGAATGTTAAGATATATTCAACATAAAAACTCAATTTTATTTTATTATCGGGAAACTATACAAAAGATACTTTTAAATATTTCACTGATAAATTGTAAAGTGAAGTTAGAATGAACTTTAGATCATTAGAATATTAATATTGCTTTCTCAAATTTCATCATATTGATTTAAATAAAGTATATATAGTTTACCTTCAATGAAATTATTAGTTGCAACAGTTACTAATATTTAAATATATTAATAAAAAATTATTGTAAAGTAAAAAATTAATGCCATTTAAACTAAATTAAAGTTAATGTATATGTAAAAAATTGTATTTGCTTAAAAATTGTTGAAGACATGTTTCTATACGGAGTATAAATTTAATTTCCAATCAATTAATTTTAAAACAATTTAAAAAATTAGTTTTAAATATATGAAATAGCTGTTAATTTTTACCTAACAATTTAATTTTATATTAAATATGTAATTTCTTATTATTAATTTATTACGTATTATAAATATAAATTTATTATAAATATTATATGATAAAATATATAAAAAAGTTTTTTTTTTAAATACTGGGAGAATTTCAACCACATTTTTTTTCCTACGTCACACTTGAATTAATTATTTTATTATAATGATAATCCAATTATCATTCTCTTAAAGAAATTTTAATTATTTATAATTTATGTAAATGGTTAAGAACACCTGGTTAAGAAAAAGTACGTTTTAAAAAGGACATTATAATTATAAAAATCAACAACCAATTTAATGTATTTATACATGCGGTTATGTTTTATTGATAAACTTCTCGTTTTTTATTTTTACTATATTCATTAACAAATAACAAAGTACTATAGTTTTAGTTGGAAGTATAAAGGATCATTTGAAAATATAGAAGGTATAAAAGAATAATAATTGAAAATTAAAGAAGAATTCCGTTTTGTTAAACATTTTCATGAAAACGAGAAAATATACTTTATAAAATTTCTTATAGTAATTGTGACTATTAATAAATATATAAATATATTATTAAAAATGTAGTGAATAATTATTGTTTCTCTAAAAGATAAAATTTTAAATTTCTTAAAAAAATTTAGCACCTTATTTACAAATTTAAAAATTGAAAACTAATTTCTCGTCTACAATTATAAAATTTTAGATTCGTCATATTATATATTATAAGTCTTTTTAATTCATGTTATATATATATATATATATATATATATATATATGTATGTATGTATGTAATAAAAGATAAAAATATGAAGAATATTTTAATAACGAACTAAACTATTCGTATATTATTATTACGCAACGTTCATAAAAAATCTATATACATTAATTATGAAATTATTAAATATATCTAATTTATATTTCTAACCGTTAAATAATTTTAAGCTAATTATATAATATATATAAATTTTAAAAAATAGAAAATTTTCGATTAGCTCAGAATTTTAAGTATGTAGCTTTTATATTATTCTATTGTGCCTTATAAATGTTTTATCCTCTATTTAGTTTTGAATTATTTTATTATATTATTTTATAATAGTAATATATAATATTATATTATTTATACATCCACGTAATACACCCATAATTTACTAAACATTATAATAAACATTATAATATAATCATATAAACATTATAATTATAATATATCAATTTAAAAATCAAACTATTAAAACTTTAACTATTGAAAACAGATCTATAAACAATATAAGTGTAGAAAAATAGTAACGTACAGTTACATTTGATGTGCTAAATGCATTTTTGAAAAATTCATACCATTCCAAATATGTATTTAAGGAGCAGGGGATCGAATTCGGAGTATGAGATAATGTGGATGATGCTTTCACAAGTAGAAGATCTTCCTTATGGGACTGCAAAATAATATATCAGATGAAAATATTCAAAGGATTTAATATAATCATAAGAACTACTGATTTCATTAGATTTTTATTCGGAAAATTGGTTCACTTGATTTTCTTTCACTTACGACTTTCGTAAAAAAAACTTGATCTTTATCTTTTTTTGTTGAATTTAATATCAGTAGGACACTGATATAATGAATATTGGTAACCGAAAGATGAAATTCGCTTTTATAAAAAATATATTGATAACTGCTTCAAACTTAATAATATATGTTGAATAAAATTTTATAAATAAAACAATGATTTAATTGAATAAATATAATATGTGAATGAATTGTATTGTTTTTCCTTAAATAAAAATGACCGATAATAAATCATATCGCATATTTGTAATATACAATTAAGTTATTACAAATTATAATTTGATAATTAGAGTTATTTTTAATAATGAAAAATTTTGAATATTTTTTTATGAATTTATTCGGCTTAATAAATTAATCAATATATTATGTAAATTTTATCATATTGTATTTATAGGTGAAAGCAAGCAATAAAAATTTCATTCTACTTACTCACTTGACATTGAACAGCTCTGGACAGTACAAATGTGAAGTTTCAACTGGAGCACCATACTTTGCCACGAACTTTATCAAAAGGAATCTTACTATCATATGTAAGTTTTGACCAATCCTTATATTTTATGAAAAGTGATAAAATAATGATAAATATTTAATGAAACATGTATGCTTATATATTAGTGTTCGTAGTAATAATGGAAAAAATTTCCTAGAATACATAAAAATACTTCCTTTACTTTTTATTTTATTTTTATAAAACGTTTTTTAAAATAGAAACTGCATTTTTTATGTACATTTAATATATTATATTATTATTTTTTTATTACACATTGTCTACTAGTTGCAAATTAAGTAGACGAGAATAATTATTTAATGTTGCAAATTCTTCTAAACTTGGATAAAATTAAATCGCCATCTGATATTAAAATTAAAAAAAAAACGGAATTCTTTATAACGAATCAACATTTATTTAAATAGTCTTTCTATAATTCAATAACATTTCACTTTATCACTTTAATTATATTCAGTTAATATAAAATACTCTATTTTATTGACAAATACACATATACTTTTATTAGAAATATTCCGTTGTAAAATATCTTAGGCTATTAACTTCCTATAATTTTAAATTTATATATCCTTGAATATATTGATATTTTTACGTAGTATTTTTATTCTATATGAATAACTGTACATCATTAACAAGTTTGGATTAAATAGTCGAAAAAGAATAATAAATTAAAACCATACACTTAATAAATAAATGGATATTAATGCAAAAAATGAAAATAGAATTCAGAAGGAAAAAACAGAAGCTTTCAAAATAAAATCCAAAACAATATTCAATGTAATTCGATTAAGTTCAAAGGGCACAAGGAATTCAGCACGTGAACTCAAATTCAAATATTACTGAGATATGTCTCCGGGAGCGCAACGACAAGCTAAAGTTAAGAATTACGAGCACCGCTCCATTATCGTTTGCAGTATTTTGGCTCGCGTTTCACTTTAAAAGGTTTCCTCTTTTCCCTTTGAAAAGAGAAAGCAAGACTGTGCATCGCTAACGATAAAAAGGAAAGGCAAGGAGATTTACCGAAGAGTTGTGAGAAATAGGAAATTACGGAAGTGAGTGGAGATGAAGGCAAAAAGGAAAAGTAGAAAAAATCTACGTATATACTCTAGCAATAAGAGCTAGCCGAGATTTTACTAACAATAAATTTTTCCGCTTATGTAAGCAATGGGTATACATATATGGCTATAATGTATTTGTACATATTACATTGAAACGTAAAAATATAGATGCTTGTGTAAAATTTGAAGGGCATTAAAATATGGAAATCATATTGTAGACGAGAAGAGGAGAACAGAAACTGCAAAATAATAGTTAAAATTTTTTAAATAATCGTTATTTGATATTAATAATCTAGTTTGTTGGCTCAATAGTATGTTTATGACTATTCAATTATTTCATTAATTAGAAATTTTTAAATCAGCCATAATAAAATTAATTATTATTTCAACTATTGAATTCAGAATTTAATGAAGTAAATATTTCTCATTTGTATGTTTGATATTCTATGTTTCCAATCTTAATATTTTCGATGTGGTTATAATCTCTTTATAATTATATGACAAACATTTAATTATATCTATTTAATTATATGTAGAATTTATTTAGGTTTTAATTATAAAGATTAAATTAAAATGTTAATTCATTAAAACATCCATTCGTATTATTTATAAAGATAATATGTGCATTTTTCTATTTTATTAATTTATCAGTTGTTATCCTAATTGACTACAAATGAAGTTGTATAAGTAAAGACTATTATTATTGTGTTTCAAATTTAAATTAGTAAGGTTTTTTTTAATGAATCAGTTTTAGTGTTGAACAATTTTTTAAAAATTAATATCAATTTTTTCTCTACAATCATTAAATTATCTCATAATTTTTATTCAAGAGATATAATCAATATTTTCATATAATAAAAATTAAAAGTATTCGTTAAAATAGATATTAGCAATAATTACTGAGCGAATATCATTAAAATAAAATGTATTTATTAAAAATAAACTTATGATTTTTAAATATAAATAAAATTTAAATTCTTGAAGACATGTCCGTGAAATAGATATTGTGTTATATATATTTTACAGGCAATTTAATATTTATAAGTAATTCCTGCTAAAGATTTTATAAAAATGACACACCCGATAAGCTTACTTCTTTAGACATTTTGATGTTTAATTTCACTGTTCACATTTTGATTCAGAATTAAAATTACAAAATTACATTAAAGGTAAATCGTATTCGCCAATTATGTATCGTTATTCATTACATTAATTGATGGTCTTATGTTATCATCATGTAATAAAATATAATTCATCTGCAAACAGCAGTACTAATATTTTATCAACATGATAGTCCAGATTAATCCGAATTCACGTTTAAAATAGTTAATTATGATATTGTCACGTCAAGTATTCAATATTAGCAATACTCTTTTATGACATTTGAGCCGAGAATTCTCGCATCAAACAATGAATATAAATAATAGAATAAAAGAATAAACCTGTAAAGGAAAACAGTTCTATGAATAAGAATGGAAAAAAAGAGCATATGAGAGAAAGTAAAAATGTTATCTGGATATATAATGCACTTCTCTTCGTAATCCTTAGAGCTATCACCTCGATCTCTTTGTCCATTCGTCTTTGCCACTTTTAAACATACATGCTTGCTTGTTTCCTCCCTTGTTAACTCCATAGAGAATGGAATTTTCTATGGACATTATAGATTATATATGAGCCTTCCACTTCAGGAATCACTTCCTTTCATATACACAGTACATTAACTGTTCCTCAAGAGATCGTTTTAGAAGATAAGGATGTATGGTGTAATAATCAAGCAGATCCGATTTCTGGCATCTATACTCGATTCATCGATACTCGGTTGAATAATGTATGACTGGTTGACATTCTGCGAATTTTTAAAATATTTATCTTGATTTTAATTAAAATACTTTAGACTTTAAATACTAAATTCATGGTAATTCTAGATTTCGCTTGTTTAACTTCACTAACTAATCAAATACCAGACAATCTTTATACTATCGGCGACCTTATATATTATCAGTCTATTGTCAAACTTAGTTTTATTTACTTATCCGCTATTTTTAAAATTCAAATTTTTTTTTTTATATTGACTTGTATAATATTTACTACAACATGTATAATATTAATGCATAAAATTAAAAACGATAGTTAAACCGTAATCAACGTTCATATAATATAGTAAAATCTTAAAAAAATATTTTTACCGAAAAAATGATTGTTTTATTTGATTGAAATATAGTTTGATAATTCATTTAAATATTCATTACTTTATAGTAAACATTTTTATACTTTTTATTATATAAATATGTAATTTTATTTTGTCGTTTTATAATTTTAATAATTATTTATACTGAATTACTACCTGATATTCAGATTTATTCAATTTAGAAGACAAAAATAATACAAATTCAACAAATATTGAAAAATTGTTTTTGGAAATGTTAATGAATTCAATATTTCTGCAAGCATATACGTGCTTATGCATACATATGTAGATACTCATAGGTCGTGAAAATAAACGTGCAAAATACATTAATTAAATCAACCAACAGATAAAATTTTAAAGTCAACCAATCAGAGTTCTCTTCTTCGAAGATTTAAACTTGGTGTTTTCAACAATTATATTATAATTTTCTTCTCTGTTATATTTAATGAGACTATTAATTATGACGCTGAATTCAGTTAGTCGAAAAATGTTTAACATTCATAGCCTTTAGTTGACTAGCTAATGACTTGATGAATGACCGAATTAATTTTAATTAAGAGATGTTGAAAGGACAATTTTGTAATATGACATTATCGACTTGCATAAATAAAAGACGTAGCAATTATCAGCCATAATCGTAATAAATAAAAGATGGAAACTGTTCTCGAACAGTGAAAAGAAAATTTCTCGAATTATATTCATTAGAAAACTTTCAATAGCCATTATAATAAGGAATTATCGACATACATAAAAATCTAAGAGAGTCTCGCCAAGGTTACTGAAGACACGAATAGGTTAGTACATTTGGAACATACTCGTAAACAGCCACTTTATTGCCTTTCGTACTACAGACGCAGTAATTGTTTTGAATGCAATGAAGACCCTTGCGAATTACCATCAAAACCCGGTTAGCTTGTTTACTAGAGTATATTTTGAGGCTTAAATTATTTAAAAACAATTGAGTGAAAAGCATTTCTTAAAATCCATTGCAACCTGAAACTCGGCACAGCGACGTTCGGCAATCTGCGTACTTTCAATGCCACCAGCAAGCATGCATTGTTGTCAAGTACGATAAAAGTTGCTGCTTGCATAGGCCAAGCGAAGACGCTTGACCAAAAATCATCCCCACCACGATGAGTCTCGGAGAGGGGTAAATCTTCCACTTGCTGCCAGAGATACTCCTTCGATATTCTCACTGTCAAAGCCTAATTTCTTATGAAGTGGGAAAGGGGGTGCACATTAATCATGCCGCCGAAAAGCGGCGTGTCCTGATTGGAAAACTAAGACCAGCAGCTCCTTGAGTGGGGACTCATGGCAAGAGGCCTTAAAGATGGGAACAAGACAGCGAAAACGCTCTGTTCGTGGGGGATTATTGGAATACGCAGTCCGCGTGGGCAGCCAAGGGCCTTTTTCTCCAAAGGGGACAAATCACACAGAGTGAGAGTGAGCAGTCTAGAGAAAGGTCAGATAATAGATATTCATTGTCCACGGAACCAAGCCAACAAATTCACTCAACGCAAAAATAAGTGCTAGTACTTCAAGGCAAGAATAAATAGTGCTGGTGAGTATAAGAGTCACGCCGCACATAACTGTGTCCCTCTCACCGGCTGATCAGATCTATAATTAGTGCAAGCTGATGAGCATAAGAGTCACGCCACTTATAATTTGTGTCCTCATCGGCTGATCAGATCAAGAATAAATAGTGGATACTGGTGAGTATAAGAATCACACCGCATATAAGTGTGTCCCTCTCATCACTAGATCAGATCAAGAATAGTG